ACTATTATTATTATTATTATTTTCAGTAATGTGATCTTTGGATCAATAATTTAGAAAAGAAAACATGATCTAATGTTATCTGTAAGTTATTGACTATTAAGTTTGCTAATAGCTAAATGAATGAAAAATTTATCTTCTTCAAAGAGATTCAATCAATTACTCATCAATTATGCATGAAGAATTTCATGTAACCAAGTATGTGAATTCAAAGTGTTTTTAAGTGTTAATTCGTTTACAGTTATTAAACCCATCCCCCCCCAAAAAAAACATCGTTATTATTTATTTAATTGAAACAATAAGGATACGGTTAGACTGATCTAGAAAAATTCATGGTTGTTACTATAGCACACTAGTATTTATAAATGAAACAAGATTAATTCCGGTTTACTTGACCTTGTCCACCGTATTTACATATAATAACAATGGTTATTACTTTTTAGAGATATTATAGTAGTATGAATGTTAAATGAACCTGACCTAAGATTTACAGAATTCGACATTTGAAAATGATGTCTTACATGAATATAGTTATGCCATAATGCTGACTAATAATAAGGATTATATTTGATGATAATGAATACTTTGCATTAGTTCATTATCTTCTGTTTAAATTCTACAAGTAATCAAATGAGACAAGAATAGATAACTATTGCAAATTAGATTGCTATAGATATCTGTTTCTTTTTAGTATGCTTGAATTTAGAGACTAAAATTATTAGAATTTAACTCGGTGGTTTAGAAATTTTAGGAACTCATTATGAAACCTAAAGATCCTGGATCAAATCTCCAATGTGCTCATAGATGAATACTGCTTAAGAATCCCTTACTAGTACAGAACAGCTGTCCAATGTATCTTGGATTTCAATTGTTGTTTTACATAGGTCAGTCCTTGATGAAAACAGTAAAATTAAATATGGTTCACAAATTCTTACAATGATAAAGGATAAAAGTAGTTTAGTGAAAGTATTTCTAGTCATTGACTCAATTTAATAAATAGACATAATCTACCTTGAAATTTATAATGCAACCACTGATAAGTACTATCTTATGTCCCAGTTACAAAAAGAGATAAACATTCTTGCCATTCAAAACATTTCATATCAGTAAAACAAGTTGATTACAATTCCGATATTTTGTAGTTTTTATTCTGAAATTTAAAACAATGAAAACTTTGTGATCAGTTCTATTCTTGATCAGATCGCTTAATTGATTTTTGATTGATTCATGTAATGATATCATTTTGTTCATAATCATAGTTTCATAATCCCATCAATTATTTTAATTATTGGTTTATATGTCAATGTTAAGTTTTATTATGATTACATATCTTTTCTAAAGCCATGTTATGTCCAGTCTATTAATTATAGTATCCCATATTCACAGCCACTTTTGGCTAGATCTTGTACAAATGTTATTTTCTATTTTATGATACGATGTAGTCTGTTTGGTTGGTATATAAACCCAGTACGTTTGAAATAAATGATTCATATCGTAGAGGCTGAGATTGGTGTTCTGAACTTAAGAGGCAGGGCTAGACAGGAAGCAGGACCGGTAAAGACTTTAGACTGCTCGTACGGGTTTTATTTATTATTAGACCGGTCGATAAATCACTGTTCTCTAATTGGAAGTGTCATTACATCATGCATTAATAGGACACAGGGCACAATTTATAACACTGGGGTGCAGGTACATCCAGCTGACAAGTCTCAAGTAGGAAGAAACGCGCGTCCTGGATTCCACTGCTAGCTACTATTCATCTTTGCTTATAAGTATTTCAATATTAATAATCTACAGCCATGGTAACTTGGTATACATCAGTCTGAGATAACGTTAGTTGAAAGATAAGGATAATAAATAGAGGCACAATGCCTGAAGTTGAAGAGAAATAAACTGAGATAAGATTTAAACTGTCAACATTTTTAGTTTTTCCAATTAATGGTTATTTATTACATAAGGAGTAGTTCTAGTAGCATTTATTAATCTTCAGCTTTGAAAATATTCTACCATCTTCTTATAATCGAACCAAATCCTATGTTTTAAAGTTATTGTTATGTCCATTGTGCTTTTGCATAATTAAGACTGCTGTTTTCATGATGCAGTCGCTTGTATAAGTTTTCTTCCAAACAAATGTTTTTCATTTATCGAATAGTTGAAAATAATCTTCTTCCGTACAACGATCATGGACGAACCCTGTTTAATTTTCAAAGAAAAATAGATGTATAAATATTTTAAGAGTAAAGGGTTTGTGAAGATGAGTGAGTTTTATGGTTTGTGTCACGAATTAAAACTAGTTGAACAACAGCTGAAAATCACGAGCGACCGGACTGCTGCTTAACCCTACTAACTGACTCTTCAAGAGTATGAATCCATAACTCCATTTGGGATTAAGCTAATAAAATTCAAGTCTGGAATTGAAAAGTTACTCCTTAATTCATTGAGTTAACATTCAATAGTTTGCATGTCTAGCTTCAGTGAATTTCGGCGATCGGATAAGCATCTTTCAATGTCATCGGTGGATAACTGCCTTACACCTAGCATAAGTAAACACCACTAATCATAACTTCTCTCTGAATTCTGACTCAGCAGTTTGAAAAACCAGTGATATCATCAAGATTTGTGGGTTTTTGGTTTGATTCCGGGTGGGACGTGAATAAAGATTGTTGAAGAATCTTATGGTAGGGCGAAACAACTCATTAATGCTCCGTGGTGTTCAACAGTTGTCTGATAACGATGCAAACTATAAAATATGAATATTATGTTTTGTAATGAAACTACATCGTAAAAGGATTGCTTTTCACTAGTCCCTTACATAAACTGTTTGCACAATGTATGTGGTGGTATAACATTGTGTAGTAATTAGATTTCATTGCTTTTCAGTAATTTTATCATTAGTTTTAAATTATTTTGAGGGACGTATTGGAGAGTTTTGTGTTTCATTAAGACTGGATTTCTTAATATTCTATTTGGAATAATGACGCAATCATATGATTGAATTAATAGTGAACAATCAAATTGTTTTATGCATAATAATGATTTACTGGTTTCCTGAATGCTTAACATGATTTGAGTGAAAATCCGGGAGTGTATTAATGAGTTAAATAAGAATCTATATTTTGATTTACATAATTTATATAGAAATGTATGTAAATAATAATGATTTTTTTATGTGACTAATCAATAATATCAGAATTAGGATTTGTGGAGATCCATGAGACGATTTAAGCTAGACCACCATTGAATGGACGCCAGTTCAGTAGTCTGGAAATTAAAGGTTCGCGCGCGAGACCGGAGGTCCTGTGTTCGAGTCTTTTTGGTACAGGATAGTGGATGCGTATTCCTGAGGAGTTACATAGTAGGACGAAACGGCCGTCGAGTACTTCTAGGTTTCCAATAGTGTTTAGTTTAGATCGACTAATGTATTCAACTATTAATCAATAATAATCTTAAATAATATTTGGTTAACCCGTATTAGACCATTTAAAAAAAACTATTTGACAGTAAGAATATAACATATTCTCGTAATAAATGCATATTATTTTCAACAGTTGAAATCACGAGTTAATTGAAGCTAGACCACCATAGAAAACCTGGAAGCACTGGACGGCCGTTTTAACCTAGTATGGGACTCCCCAGCGGTGCGCACCCACGATCACATCCCCCGCAAGATTCGAACCCAAGACCTATCAGTCTCGCGCGCGAGCGCTTAACCATTAGAGCACCGAGCCGGTCAGCCTCCAACAGTGTTAATGTCCAACTTGACCAATCTACGAAATTGCGCCACTGTAAACCATTGTCTTCAGTGAGCTGATATCTCATAACGGACATGGTTTTCCATAATGGTCTAGCTTCAATTGACTGTTGAAATGACTAAAATCTCCACAAAACCCCTTCTGATATATTATTTTGTTATTTCCAAGCCTAGGGACGTTAAATACCAATATTTCCCCAGTGATCACAAAACTGACAACTAGAAATTATATCATCCAATAGTTGCTGAACACATTACCAAATTAATCATTTTTATCTGAGTTCTATAAAAAAATAATTTTCATAATGATTTCTCCATTGTACATGAATTTGAACATATAGAATATTACACAGATTGAAATCATGAGTCAATTTAAGCTAGACCACCATAGAAAACCTGGAAGCACTGGACGGCCGTTTCGTCCTAGTATGGACCGTTCAGTGCTTACAGGTTTTCCATGGTGGTCTAACTTCAATTGAATCATGATTTCAATTTGTGAAATTTCTCAAATCTCCACAAACCCCTTCTGATATAGAATATTAGCAGATAAAAGATAATTAATGATCATATACTTGATTATGGATTGTATTATTTTAGATTAAATATAAGATAGAATACTTAAAAACATAGATTATTTTAATTTTTCACATCTTAATGATAATTCTATTCATGTATAGATATTAATCCATTTCAAAGTGTTTTAGAATTGTACACAAAGAGACAGTTTCTGATCTTCCAGAACAATACAGAATTTTAACAAAACTTTATATACTTTTTAAAAGGTTCGAATATTTTTTTCTGGTTAGCATTTTTTTAACGAGCTAGTTTTCTACGATATGGGGTCGCTAACTCCATGCCCAACCCTTCTCTTTTATCCGGGCTTGTGACTGGCAGTAGCCCCTGGAGGAACTCCAGGCGGAGTTATATACTTTAGAACTATACAATAATTCCAAAACATTTCTATGAAATTAATCACTAGTCCAGGATTATGAACTGTTTAACTAATTTTGATATACTTAAATCATTCGATATTACCAAGTAAACAATTTAAGTTCTAAAGACATTTGATTTATTCTTCTATAGATTAATAATTTTATAGTTAAATTATATCAATCTGAAGGTAACTAATTATTCAAGGCTATTGTAACCTTCATTATGAACAAAGGCTATTGGTTAACAAAGTAGATCGATTTGATTGGTTAGGGTTTTTTTTTTCAAAACTATATTACTTATCCAATCGTATTATTGCCTTGTTAATGATTGTGTATAAGGAATTATTTGAAACAGATTGTTTATAAACTATCACACCATTATTACATTGTTTGACATTGATTTATGAATGAAAATCTATATGGTAAGTAATTCATTATCATTTAATTTTATTTCTATATATAAATAACTTTTAAATAAATTTTGTTAGGTTTACAAATATTCATATTAGTACTATCAGTCTTAGCATAAAGAGAATGAAATGAAGAGGTTAAGTGTTCATGTGCCAAATTGAATGTTTTGGGTTCGGATCCTATAGGTGGGATCATGGATATGAAGTGCTGAGGAATCCTATACTAAGATGAAACGGCCATTCCAGGTTTTTAATGGTGGTCTAACATCTATTGATTCATGATCTTGATCAAAAACTTAATAATCTCCACAACCCCATATTGATAATGGCTATGTACTCACTAGTGATTAATTTCGTGATGGAATTCTCGGAGTTCTAGTGAGAAGCCATGACCAGTGGAGCTAATCCGTATCGGTTAGAGGCAGGTATCTACTTCAGTGCAATGGAAGATGGTTGTGCAATCTCGTGGATTGGTTGAGGTTACACATTAACACCATTGGATGCCGGCTCAATAGTCTAGAGATTGCGCGTTCGCGCGAGAGATCGAAGATTCTGGATTTGAATTTTTTTTAAATTTAATTTTGTTTTAACACATAGATATTGGTACGAGGCACCAAATAGATATGCGCCACACAAATCTAATTTGATATGTGTGAGGGCTGTGATACTACCCGGGTGTCCAAACCGAAGCAGGTGGTGTTCTTAGGGGGCCACATCCGTAGCCTTCGGCCTATAGGTCTGATCCACAGGGCAGTCGACCATCGTAAGGAGATGCAGTCCCATGGTGGCCGGTGACCAACAATTAGGTCATACGCCATTTGTTCCTACAGGATACTGGAGCCCATGTGCACCATTGGTTTGGAATCAGGGTTTTCCAACCCCCCTATATGGACTTTCCGTGTCTACCAACCCGGTTAGAGCGCCGGGCGTCCGCTTTTCATCCTCTCAATTTCGTAAACAACAACCCCATCACGAGAAGTCGGTGAGTAGGACGTCCCTGGAAGAGACTATGTACGCGTGGCCATGTGAGAGCATTTTGAGAGGGAGAGCGGACTCTTCCCACTCTCGGCCGTATCAGGGCATTTGGGGGCAATTCAATGAATTGATATTAATAGCCAATTAGATTTTAAAGACATTTTTAATTATTGTTATCATGCACTCAGTATTAATTGTCTAACCTCTTTAATAAAACTATAATGTAGTTTAATAGTTAAGATTATGAGTCAATTGAAGCTAGACCACCATGGAAAACCTGAAAACACTAGACGGTCTTTTCGTCCTATTGTGGGACTCTTCATCAGTGTGCACCCATGATTCTGTCTCACGAGTTTTTATATCATATGATATGTCATAGTTTACTATGAATGCGGTTAATGATAATAGAGTATGAGTAGTTAGTCTATGCTTATTTTTTTTTAATAATGTGAATCATATTTTATAAATTTTATTTCGATGTACTCCACTGCATTGTCTAACTTTAAATTGAGATGTATTTAACTGTATGTCTTGATACTATATCACAGTTTTCACTAGCTTTCTTTTTAAAAAAATATATTGGTTTGCAACTTCTTAATCGCTGTGTAGTTACCAATGAGATGTTTATCTAGTTGTTTAGGGTCGATCAAATGCTTCTGATCAAGATGTAACATTTATCATCAATCTAAGTAACTCAAGATCATATTTAAGATGTTTAGAGGTTAGGTGGTTAAAGGTGGTCTGTAGGAAGCTCTATCTGATCTAGGGTTTATAATAGTTGATACTCATAAACAAGTAATATATGAAGTCTTAAGGGAAGTGATATTCACGCTGGGAGTCAAACCCGGATCATCCAGCTTTGTATTTTGATATGTTATCAATAAGCAATTCAAACCACCAATAATATCTTGAAGGATTAAAAACTATACTGAATAGAGCTTTAATTTATTCATTAGGTATTTTATAAATTATAATCAAGTTTCAGCTATCCACTTGGATTTATTCTTTGAAAAAAAAAATCGGGCAAGTTATAAGGAAATCTTCACTTGTTTTAGTATTAGTAATATAGTAATGAGAAAGTTTTCTATCCAATTGCCTATTTACATTTTAGTTGAGAGTAGAAAAGATTAAATTTACACTTTAGCCTTTAACAAGAATAACCTAATTTATTTATTAAGCTTGTATAAATTGAATGAAATTTTGCTTGTTTAAGTTATTGTTATTTTATTATTTGGTTATAAATCTATCTAAATCTAAACTAGGCAATTTATATTGGCATAGATATATATGAGATGAATGAAGAAATCGATAAATCTTTATAAGCATATAGAACATATTTTCATTTTTTTTTTTATAGTTTGATAGGTTTCAATTACCGGTTACAAGTACAACTTGTTCTGTTTCTTGTTTTTCTTTGTTGTTGTTGTTTTCTTTGTCAGAAGAGTAACATTTAATCGTTGATTCAACTTTTTGTTTTTGGCATATTTATTTAATGCTGAAATTCATAAATCAACACAAATGGATGTTTTACTTTTTCCCATTATAATTATAAATTAAAGATGAGTATTTAATGTTTTTAAAGCATCTAAGAAATCAGTCAGTCAGTTACAAAATACGACCAAGCACATATGCCATAACTCATTAGCACAACAAGATGAACATCGGATTCATAGAAGTAGTTAATGCAATGGTAGTAATATGTAAAAGAAAGATTGCATATAAGGATATAGTACAGGAAGAAAGAATTAGTTGGTAGAAAGAAAGATATGAAGCAATTTTAGTCTCGTAGTTTAAGGAAAGATAGAGAGTGAATATACTGACGCGATTGTGATCGATTCTGATCCATATCAATCAGAGTCTCCAATCATTGGTTACGATAGTCACGTCGACGCCAATCAAGTAGTCTGCGTCTACTAATATGGTTCAGACTAGAATTTATTGAATTCAAGCGCTGATGACACGTTTTGGCAATATGTAAATTGATTGTGATAAGAATTTATTTGAAAATAATTTTTGTGTTATACTAACATATTAAGTGTTGAACCATTAAGACTTAAGGAACATTGAGAACATTCACAGAAGATCTTCTTTAGAATGTATAATTCTCATGGTGTGAATAGTTCTTGATTTGAAATTCAATTATCAATAAATTATTTCAACTAAAGTCACTTTACTATAGAGGATAATTTATATTCAATATCATTCTATGTAATGATTTGAAACATCACAGCTTTCAAGTAGAACTTTTGAAAATGTATCTTTAAGTTGATCACTACTAGATAAATGATTATTAGAATGTCATGATTGTTGTACTATTTTACCTAAAAATCACGGGTTTTATATCATCTTGGTCAAAGATTCTCGTTACAGAAGAATTTTAATAAAGAACAAATTATCTATTTAGTAACACTTGGTTATTTATAGTTTACCACTTAATGACAATTTATTATAAAGCCTTTCAAGACTGTTTTTTTTTCTACCATAAATTGTTTATGATATATTATTGTTCAATGTAAAACTACTAACTGCCGCTTATTCTGAGAGTGAAGAAAGTTGTTAATGGGAATTATACGAAATGTCTCGGATACGACCTAAATTATGGACAATTTAAAATTGAAATTTGAATGATTTCATTGTTAACATCTATGTGTATAGTGTCAGTATATTAGTCATTCATATGATGAATGACAGAAATAAAATGTATATTACATGGAAACTAAATTATTCATATCTATACATTGAGTATTTTAATTCATACATGAATGACGCAAATTTGTTTTTTATACTTTAAAAGTAACTTACTAACTTAATTGTACTGACGGATATTTGAGGATTTTACATACTAATAAATGAATTGATCTCTTGAAAAAGGTAACTTATGACTTAACAATACAATTATATAAAAATAGACACAACAAGAAGGTAATTATAAAATTAGTTCTCAAGGAACCAGACACTGTACAGACTTTTATACTACGACCTGAACAGCAAAACTCAATTCTGTGGCGTAACCATACGAGTAGCCAGAACCTTGGCAGACCATTCGTATTATATATATATGTAAAATCATTATATACTATTTCCGATCACTGATCGCGTCCATCAATTATGCACAGCATAAACAGATAAATTTTGAACTACCACGCTTAAAGAACTGTTAAATTAGCAATAAAGACACGGATTACGAGGTACCAGTGAAAATAGCCCCTGAGAATTCTAGAAATCAGTCATCAATATCAATGACACGGTTATCTAGCAAACCAGTTATGAATATGAGTTACCAAAGAAATCTGTCATAATGATGCCAAACCATCAACAATATTCATAGTAAACCTCCGTTTTACACAAAACCTTCAGCTCCACATAACAGCATACCCTATGTTATATACATGTGGGATAGGGTATTAAGCGAGGCAGCCTAGCTTAAAGTAGTCAAGCTCAAACACACTTAAGACCCATTGTCTCATGTCGGTATATGATTACTAGGCCATCGAGATTATTATTTATTAAAAAAAAGTCAAATTAATAAATCGATTTAAGCTAGATCACCATTAGAAACCTGAGAGTACTGAACGGCTGTTTCGTCACAGTATGGGACTTCTTGGCAGTGCGCATCCACGATCCCACACACAGGACTCAAATTCAGGACCTTCGACCTTATGTGTGAACGCCTAACTTCAACCAGTCCATGATATTTCACGACCACCTTCCGTTGTCTTCGGTGGATAACTGCCAGTTGAACTCCACCGGTCAGTGATTATTACTAAGACTTCGAGAATTATCTCTCAAAACTAGTTAGCATGTACTCATTAGAGATCAACTTCAAGAGGTAATTCTAGAAGTTCTAGTGAAAAGACCAATGAATTTATTTAATTAGTTGAAATTTAAGAACCTAATCCATAGTTTCTTCAATCAAATTTTTTCTACTCTTCATATAAACAGTTAATATTTATGAAATATTCTATGTTTACATAATTTACATTGTTTAATCACGAATAGAAAACAAAGTGATATATTTAGTTATTGTTGTTTATATA